TTTCTCCTTGAAAGGATTATCAGGAGTAAAAGCGAGACGGTGACTATGACGAGATACCTTTATAACATATGGTAAGTCTATGAACAAGGAAATCACATAGGAGACATGTGTATAGTATGTGCCCGTGATCATAATCATCCACCAATCCACAAAGATCACAAGACAAAGTAGATTTCCTTGGAAAGTAATGGAGAGTATGCTTATGCCTTTTTGGATTGTCTATAGTAAGGGGCGGTGTTGGATTTTTCGAGCAAAAAACATGAAGTGCAAAATCACAAACAAGGCAATAGTACAATAGATTCAAACACGCACCGGGACAAGAAAAACAAGCTGGGTTAGGTAGTAAATCCCGACACCAGAGAAGTTGAAGAGGATGTCTTGGATGACTAGAGGAATGGAGAATGGAAGGTGCCTCAACACATTCTTTGTGGTACCCTCTATCGCAGTGGCTGCAGAAGTAGTAGGTATTTGTTTTGATTTTGTACTGACAAGCCTCACAATATAATCTTTCATGGTCTGGTCTGCGACAAAATAGAGAATGGAGCTGATTGGACTTTTCACTGAAACACGAACTTTTGATTTTGCGAGGGTGAAAGGTTTTCCCGTTAGTAGTCTTCGTTATTTGGTGATCTTTATTGTTTTCATATCGCTCTTTTGGGCACAAGAAACGACTAGACGGGACGCTAAACGATATTGTTTTCATATCGCTCTTTTCGCTCTTTTGTTAATATTTGCTGGTTTGGTATGCTCTTTATTTTTTTTTATATCGTTCTTTTGGGCACAAGAGATGGTTTACAGGATGCATGGGTTAGGTTATCATTTTGGTGTGAAGATTTAATGTTTACTTTATTACAACAACCAATATGCTATATATATATATACTGGGCACCAGTTTTATGTTTACAAAGCCATCATATCACGCCAAGTATTGTAGTTTATGTTCATTTCAATCTTCCTCACAACAAAGCAAGAATGCGATTCTTCTGCAAATGTTTAGAGTTTTAAGTTTTAAGTTTTGATTATTCCTTTTTTGTCTGAAAAAGCAAGTGCAGAGGTAAACAAGTTATTCAATGTTCTTTTATTTACTTATGCATGTCACAAGTATATTTCAAATGTTGGTCTTCCTTTATGTTTCACATTTATATGACACTTTATTCTAGGATTATATCAAAAAAGAAAAAAAACTAAGCAACAATAAGGCCTGAATTGTAATTATGTTTCTTTTTGGTGAGTTTATGATTTTGACCCGCATTTCAAAATGCAAGATAATATTTTGTGAAAATTTTATATAATCATATTTTCTTTTTAAGCATGGACACAAAATCCATAACCCAAAGTTCAAATCAAACGCTAACCAAAAATTTGATCTGTACCCAATTTGAAATGTAAAAAATACCAGAATTGATCTTGTAGGATCAGATGGAAGAATTTTGACGCAGTAAGACTTTCTTTTCCAATTTTCGAATCCGATATATACTGAGACCACAAAATCAAACGGCAGACAAGCTTGCATGGGATGCGATGAATTATCTTTCAGTTATTTTCTATGTCAATTCCACACTTCCGGTTTGGCTTTCCGAATCGGCAGTTCCAGTTTTTTAGTTTAGAATATTGTTGTAAAAAAAGATCTTGTAGGATGATACAAAATATATACGAACCCGAAATTTTATTTACCGGATCCGAATGGATGATCGAAAATCCAAAAAATATCCAAAGATTCGATTTGAATATCCGAATATAAACATTTGAATCATAAATATATATTTCAAAATTTTAATTCTATATTTAACTTGAGATAATATCTAAAAATAAGTATTTAAATTTTAAATAAGTATCTTAAATATCCAGTTATATATAAATGAATATTTATTTTTATGTTTTGTTTTCAAATTTTCGATTTAACTTCGAATATACCCAAACCGAACCAATATAACCTAAAGTCAATTAATATATAATTATTTTATGGATTTTAAGATGTTATACAAATTAGAACAAAAAAAGAAGTATTATATAACCACATCCGTACTTACAAAATTTCCAAATGAGATTAAGATATGCTATAAAATAGAATTAAAATTCAAAATATTTAACATGTATCCCAACAAATACCTAGACGCCCAAACCTAACTTAGAGTCCAAACTTTGAAAAAAACAGCCTCTATCCTTGTCCATAAACTCTTCCAGCTCGTTCTCTTTTTCCCGTCCATGACAAGTCCCTTTCATCACCACTTTCTCACCATTCTCTCTGTAGGCTGTAGCCGACGATCACATCCTTGCGGTGCAAGACACGATAGAGACTTACTTCCCTTCCTCCCCCTTCGCCTTCCTCAAGATCTCCTATATTCTGATCCTATCAGAGTCTCTTCCGAGAAACTAAATGGGTTATTTAAGAATACTCCAAGATTAATGAGCAGAGCCGCATGGCTACACGGAATGCTGATTCAGGCCATTTATTTGCCGGACTCTCTTGTGAACGTTTTGGGACGTTGGAGAGATAATAACAAGGGAGGAAACGAGAAAGAGATCACGGTGGATAGGAGGTTTAACAGAACAGGATCAAACTATATATTCAGAGGAGGAGGAAGAAGATGAAGTTAGGGGATGAGAGGAAAAAGGTGACGTACAAGGAGGTGCTCCTGAGAGGAAGTAGGAAGCCCATCAAAGGTAGTAGCAGAGCGCTGATTCACTCACATGCTCTCGTTCTGATTCCTACGGGACCACTACATGAGAGCTCTTTTTAACTCTTTGTTTCTGTAAACCAATAGACTAATGTCCTAGTCTACTTTAATTTGTAACTTAATATTATATCTATGTAATTACCATATTTTAACACAATCTTTGTGTGTTTGTATATATATATATATATAGAAACATGGGGGAATTACCACTAATTTAATATCATTTTCCAAATTATCTTTAAAAATAACAATTTTCATAAATATCTTATATTAGTGAGAGAAACTAAACTAACTCTCCTAAATCATTTATAAATATTTAAGAGTCATTTATAAAACATCTATAGAATTTTCTAAACTCAAACCCACTCCCCAAATGCTAACCCTAAACAATAATCACTAAACCCTAAGTCTAAATGTTAAATATTTAAGAATCATTTATAATTCAAAATGTTAAATCTAAATGTTTGAAATATTATTAGCTAACTAATAACATTTCAAACATTTTCTCATAAAATTTTGAGATAATTGGCTAAAATGCCATATGTAGCACCTATAATTAGAGAATTTCCCATGATGTGACAATCACTTTCCTTTGGACCATTTTGACCTTCTCTACACTCTCTCTCCTCTCTTTGACATCTCCCTTTTTTTTTCTCTTCAATTCCTAATTATTTTACAAATCTCTATCATTTTATATACAATTAAATTTTATTATTTTTTCATAAGTGGCTTTGAATCCTCAATTTTTTGACTTTTTTTTCTCTCCAATCCCTAATTATTTTACAAATCTCTATCATTCTATTTACAATTAAATTTTAAATTTCATTATTTTTTCCTAAGTGGTTTTGAATCCTCAATTTTTTTATAATATCAATTTTCTGGGTTTTAGATTCGACGTCGTGTTAGCGGTTAACAAATATTGTAGACGTTAACAGAAGTGTTAGTTGTTAACAATTATTTTTACGCTTCGCGTTAATAAATGTGTTCGCTGTTAACAAATATTGTAGACGTTAACAAAAGTGTTAACTGTTAACAATTATTTTTACGCTTCGCGGTAATAAATGTGTTGGCTGTTAACAAATATTGTAGACGTTAACAGAAGTGTTATATGTTAACAAATGTTTTTACGTTTCGTGTTAATGAGAGGAAAGAGAAAGGGCATTCTCGGCATTCCTTGTCAAATGGTTGTGTCAGTGTCCTTCATGTCCAATCAATGGTATTTTGCTAATTTGACCTTCAAATATGGGTAGTTCACTAAATCACTCTAAAATTTTAGTATTTGTTTTTAATTATTGATATTCTATGTAGTATAGTACATGACTAAAAGTTATCTCCAGCCATGATCGTATTTTGATGGCACAAATATGTTTTTTTTCTAGATTAAATTTTTTTTTTTTTATCAAACCAAGGTAAAAGTTAAATCTAACTATTAGTATTTACGGTGACTTAGATTTAAGCTAGAAGCAGTCACATGATATCAAGATATTTCACGGTACTGATCTTGAATATCCGATGATCTTCTTCTGTGGCTACCTGATTGACATAGTCTAACTTAGGTTCTTTAAGAATTAACCTAAGAGCCTCAGTTGATGTTTTGAGAAAAATGGAAATACTAAAACTGCTATTTACAGGTAAAAAGGATCTTGATAGATGAGGTTTTGGTGTAAATTCTGGAGAAATATGCACATGGTATATTGTTACAAATGAGTTATTACATCAACAATGGACAAAGAGACAATAAGAGCATCTCCAATGTAAAACTTCTTTTTTCCTCTAAAATGGAGTAAAAGAGAATATGAAGTAAAAATGCTCCAACCCCACTTCATTTTCCACTCCATAATAGAGTGATGAACAAACAAAAAACAGATTACTCCATTTATGGAGTAAACTCTATTATGGAGTGAGAAATGGAGTATGGTTGAAGTGTTTTCTACTCCATATTCCCTTTTACTCCATTTTAGAGTAAAAAATGGAGTTGGGTTAGAGATGCCCTAAGTCACTAATTTTGAGACTGGGAACCCAAATAATTTTTCATTCTCTTGTTTGCTGAGGTGGTTACAAATAGTTAACCATCATAAGCTTTGTAAATGATAGTAGGCGTGTTCGTTTCATAATCGCCAAGTCTAGCCGTGCCTTCGGCAATTCAGTAGCGTCTGCCTCAACTTTTGATTCTAGTATTTTGGTGTCGTCGTGGTGCAATTAATCGCTGGTGTCATTAGAATCTACGTCTATGAAACGAACACGCCTAGTGTAATATATAAGTGAAAAAGTTCATACAAATAAAACATGAAATTATTCAGATAACAGCCTTACTGATACAACTTATTCTCTAAATCTCTGAATACATCGGACTGATTTCACAGCGACATACTTTTGGTAGTTTTCTAAGCAACGAGAAGAGCAGAATAATTCTCCATTGGATGTCTTTACCTTTAATTTGTAAGGACAGTGCCTTTTGCAACTTTTGCATATAGGTCGAGTTGGATAAGTGTTTGAAAGATAGTGAATCTCCATATTGAATGTAGAACCAATTTCTCCAGGTTTCATATAAAGATCGCTTCCTAGAAGACAGTCGATGTGCAGGGGGACTCCACACTCAGAGCATGCATAAAAGCCTAGCTTTGGAAAAATATCTTCCTCGCATATTTCACACCAGTAAATTTCGTCATCATCTGCATCTTCTTTGTACGAAAAAACGAGCAAATGCTCATCATGCTTGTACCTTACTTTATGTGGAAGAGTGGCACAACGAAAGCACAGATCAAAACGGCATTGAACACAACTTAAAGGTTGGTAATACCGTGATTTACAAATGAAACAACACATTCTTGTGTATTCCGTACAAGTTATGAACAATGGATGTGGATGAGCATGGTGATTGAATGGCTCACGTATAGAAGCACAAAGCGTGTCTAACTTCCAACCATTACACTCCTCGTTCGGACACACATATGAGAAGCCGCATGAGGGACGTTGACATTTCACACAGTCCAGGTAGTAACGAGCGAAGTAACGAGTGGTAAAACGGAGCTCTAGAATCAATGGATGAACATGTAGTATACACTGCTTCACGCGAGGAAGATTTGCACATGCTTCATGTAAAAAGAAATCACAGTGTTGAATACAACGATACACATTATTACCATCATCATCACACAACGGAAGCATGCACGCTTGACAACGCTTGTTTTCATGATCATGGAGTTGTTGTTTTTCAATTTTCATTAGATCATGACAAGGATGACCCTCGTGATGTATAACTCCATCACCTTTATCTTCAAACAGTTTATTATTATTTTCATCATATGTTTCTTCTTCAGGCTTTCCTTCAAGTTCTTTTCCGTCGGACACGTCACTTCGTAGCGCACATCCAGAATGCATTGCATAAACGCATCCTTTCACGCAAGAATATTCTCCGTAGTTTATGTCTATCTTTTGATAACAAACTCCACAATCAGCCGACTCCTCTTTGAAAGGGTTACCAGGAGTAAAAGCGAGACGGTGACTATGACGAGATACCTTTATAACATATGGTAAGCCTATACACCTTCTATGAACAAGGAAATCGCATAGGAGACATGTGTATAGTATGTGAACATATTCATCCACCAATCCACAAACATCACAAGCCAAAGTAGATTTCCTTGGAAAGTAATGGAGAGTATGCTTATGCCTTTTTGGATTGTCTATAGTAAGGGGCGGTGTTGGATTTTTCGAGCAAAAAACATGAAGTGCAAAATCACAAACAAGGCAATAGTACAATAGATTCAAACACGTACCGGGACAAGAAAAACAAGCTGGGTTAGGTAGTAAATCCCGACACCAGAGAAGTTGAAGAGGATGTCTTGGATGACTAGGGGAATGGAGAATGGAAGGTGCCTCAACACATTCTTTGTGGTACTCTTTATCGCAGTGGCTGCAGAAGTAGTAGGTATTTGTTTTGATTTTGTACTGACAAGCCTCACAAATATATAATCTTTCAGGGTCTGGTCTGCGACAAAATAGAGAATGGAGCTGATTGGACTTTTCACTGAAACACGAACTTTTGATTTTGCGAGGGTGAAAGGTTTTCCCGTTAGTAGTCTTCGTTATTTGGTGATCTTTATTGTTTTCATATCGCTCTTTGGGGCACAAGAAGCGACTAGACGGGACGTGGTTAAGAAGATCCATGGGTTGTTATTTTGGTCTAAGAGATTTAACGTTTACTTATGGCAACAACTAAGTATGCTAATATCCTATATATATACAGTGGGCAATAGTTTATAGGTTTACGAAGACATCATTTATCACGCCAAGTATTACAGTTTATGTTCATTTCAAACTTCCTCACAACAAAGCAAGAATGCGATTCTTTTGCAAATGTTAGAGTTTTAAGTTTGGTTCTTCCTTTTTGAATGAGAAAGCAAGTACTGAGAGAAACAAGTTATTCAATGTTCTTTTATTTACTTATGCACGACACTTCATTCTCTACGATTATATCGAAAAAGCTAAGCAACAAGTAAGGCATCAAATCTACTTTTATTTATTTTAGTAGTCAAGAATTGTTACTTTTAAGTTTTGTTTATGGCACTCCAAGCGTAGATTAATCTTTTACTTAATAGATCAGATGTTTGGAGGAACCGCGAATCCAGTAATATTTAGTAGGGATGTTAATATGGGTAATTACCACCGCGAAAACAAGTTTTATCATCAAAACCGTAAAAACGAATTTTTCTGGCAAAATCACAAAAACGATTTTTTTCGTCAAAACTGCAAAACGAATTTTCCCAAAAATGCAAAACGAATTTTTCCGCAAAACCCGCAAAATGAATTTTCTCGCTAAAAATGAGTTTTCACGCCAGAACCGCAAACAAGCGTTCTCACCAAAATCGCAAAAACAATTTCCGTGTCAAAACTGCAAAAATAAGTTTTTTCTGTCAAAATCGCAAAATGAGTTTTTTCTGCCAAAACCGCAACGAATTTTCCTGCTAAAAGCATAAAATGAGTTTCTCGCCAAAATCGCAAAAATAAGTTTTTCTGTCAAAATCTTAAAAATGAGTTTTTCCACCAAAACCACAAAACGAGTTTTCCTAGAAAGTGAGTTTCTTTCTAAAACCACAAAAATGAGAGTTTTTGTCGAAGCTGAAAAAACAAATTTTCTCGCCAAACCCGCAAAAATAAGTTTTCTCACAAAATTGAATTTTTCACCAAAATCTAAATTTCTCACCAAAACCGTAAAATTTTGTTCTCCATTAGACCAAAGTATTTAAAAAGAAATTTTTTTTTTTTGTAACAATTCTAATACCTCATGAAATTCTTAGAAACATAAAAAAAAATACTAACTCCCCATAGGCCAACCTATATTTTATAGGGTTGTTTTGTGCGTTTAAATTAATACTCAAAAAAAAAAATTACTACTCCAATGGTTTTGGATTTTTGTGAGTTGGATTTAAATAGGTTGGGTATTGTGTGGTTTATGCTGGACTGGGTAATTTTACCCACATTAATGTTCTTAAATATTATTTTTTTCCGTTTCAATTTAGTTGTTGTTATGAGTTTTTGCACACAAATTAAAAATATATTTAATTTTACATATTTTTTTAGAAAAAAATACAGTTATTATACACCTAACTATATTTCAACCAATGAAAAATTAGAATAATAGATAAAATTAATAAATTTTATATTAATATTATAAAATGACAATATTTTGAAACAAAAATTTTATTCTACAACAACGATAACTAAATTGAAAGTAGTATTTTGAAAAGTCAAACTATTTATATCTCAAGTCAAATGAGACTTATTTTTGTGTTTTCTTTTTCTTAAAGTCACGCTATTACTTTTCCCTCTACATTTTATGTTCGTACAGTGTCATTTCTTTGTCGCTTATCATCATGTCAACTTCATGGGCTATAAGTTTGGGCTGAAATATAAGTTAGATTATGTTCTTAATGGGCCTTTTCTTTTTAAAACGAGAAACCACAAATCTAACCGGTTTAGTCTCTGGTTTAATGTATTATTACACTTTTATCACACAACACAAGCGAGTAAATAAAGATCGGTCCTAAAACCCTAGCAAGCTGTCTCTCTAGTTTCGAGAGAAAAACATGAGCATCATCGCAGGCTCCTACGAGAGATTCATCTGGGGTTTCAAGCTCAAACCCACAAACCACGACACTGACACACAAACCCTAACCCTCTCCCCTCTCTTCTCCTACCCTTCCCACATCTCCTCCATCACCACCGTCGCTTGCTCCGGTCCCGCCGCTGCTTCCGGCGGCTCCGACGACACAATCCACCTCTACGACCTCCCTTCCGCCTCCTCCCTCGGTTCCCTCCTCGACCACAACCACACAGCTTCAATCACAGCCCTCTCCTTCTACACTCCCTCTTCCCTCTCCTTCCCTCGTAACCTCATCTCCGCCGCAGCTGATGGCTCCGTGGCCATCTTTGACACTGACCCTTTTGTCCTCCTCAAGTCCTTTCGTCCTCATAAGAAGGCGGTTAATGATCTTTCGATTCATCCTTCGGGGAAGCTTGCTTTGGCTGTGTACCGTGATGAGTGTTTTGCGATGTTGAATCTTGTGAGAGGGAAGAGGAGTTTTTGTTGTAGGTTAGGGCATGAGGCGAGTCTTGTGAAGTTTGATACTAGTGGGGAGAGGTTTTTCATGGTGGTGAATGATAAAGTTGGTGTTCATCAGAGTGAAGATGCTAAGCTTCTTCTTGAGCTTGATAATGGTAGTCACAAGCGTATACTTTGTGCTTCTCCTGGAGATGTGAGCTTCTCTCTTACTTGTGTCTTAAGTAAAGAACTTTATAAATTGGCTAAAATGTTTGCTTGATTTGCAACAGAGTGGGACTCTGTTTACAGCTGGTGAGGATCGGGCTATAACAGCTTGGGATACAAATAGTGGGAAGCTTGCTTATTCCATACAAGATGCTCACCCAGCTCGTATCAAGGGTGTTGTGACGCTTACTAGGAATGAGAGTGACGGTGGTGCATCGGAAGATCCGTACTTGGTTGCTTCTGCATCTTCTGATGGGATTATACGTGTTTGGGACATGCGTATGGCGGCTAAAGAGAATGCAAAACCATTAGCTGAGACAAATACTAAATCAAGGCTTACTTGTCTTGCTGGGTCAGCTCTTAAATGTGAGTTCTCTTCACAACACTCGTTTTAAAACATAGACAATGCAATAAAACTCTGGACAGGTTGTGACATGATTTATCATCTTTGTCTGTTTTATTCAGCTATGAGACGGCCAAAGATTGGAAATCAAAAAGCTCAAAAGCTAGAAGAGGGGGCAAACTCAGGATGAGAGCCTGCTTATTTGACTAGTGGAAGTTTTTGTGCTGACAACTATCTGATACAAGTTTTGGTAGAATCTTAAAATATGCTCCAGTATGTTGTCGAATTACAATCAAACAATTTTGTTTTAAACCCTGCTTTTGTGAAAGAAAAACATTCTTACTATTTATAATTTACATGAGTTATGGGCATTATTATGTGAATCAGTCACTCCAAACTTGGCTTGTTGTGCATTACACAGTAATCACTAGTTTATTCAAACTGCATTGAACCAAAACGTTGTACAGTAAAGCTGATTCAATGTAATGTTTTTGGAAAAACAAAAACAAAAAGAGTCACACCGTTTGTGAATACATTGACACTCAAAGAGTGCTATGCTCAAAAGGAAGAAGAAATGCCAATATGAGCTCAATACTGAGTAGTGTTGTTTGGGATCTTGCCTTGCTTCAACTGAGAAAGAGCATATTCACCGGTACGGATGAGATCGGCAACGTTGTGTTTGGAAACCTCCTCGGAGCCAAACAAGAAGATGGTCTTAATCTCAGCTTTCTTTGCGAGTCTTGAAGCGTAACTAAGCTGCAGCTTTGGTGAGTTAACGCTCCTTAGTAACTGGCGGTACAAGTAAAGGACTTTCCCTCTGTTCTTTGCAGCCTCTTCTGCTGTTAACCATAGCAAGCTCGTCATGACAAAATAAGAGCTGTTGTCCCTGCAATTTAAAAGAGAAAGAAAATGTTCATTGAGTAATTTCGTCGAACACCTGATGCGCAAGAACCAAACACAAAAGGGATGTAATAACACGACAGAGAAGATACATCGCCCAGACAATTATATAAAAGAAGCAGAACATAAGGGAACTTCAATTACTCTTGACTTGCCTTTAACTGGGAGAGATTCTCAACGGACGGCGAGGATCCGGTTAGCGAGCAGGGGAGCCTAATCTTTGGATCAAATTAACAACAACAATCACCGAGAGAGATAGATAGCAAAATCCCTAATTAATGGTTTTGACTCTTTTCTTTTGGTTTTTGTAAACCAGCTCTCAGTTTCAGCCTAACCGGTTCAATCACTGGTTTACCTTTTCATCTATAAACCGCCGAGTTATTTGATTAGACCGAATAAAATAGCTTCACAGCCAACCAATAATCAACATGTACGGACAGTTAATTTGGAAATTTGCTGAGAGTATTATTTTATTTAATAAAGTTTTGATAACAATTAAATTTCATGTTTGAAAAATGGAAAATCTTACGACGATAAAAGAAAAAAGGAAAATCTTACAACGGTTAGAAACAGAAACAGAAAAAAGGAAAGCTCGAAAAGAGGCTTGAGTTCCAAGTAAGTAAACGTGTTAGAGAAACAACACAACAAAACCAAAACCTATCAGGAGTTGATTTTAGAACCTCTCTTTATATACAAACAACGTAAGGTCAAACTCTAACAATACAAATCTTTCTCTCCACTTTCGTTTGCTTACAAACCCTATTTTTCTAGGTCGAGAAAGAGATAGCAGAGATTAAAGACACAGAAAATAGAACGAGAAAGAGAGAATGATGCAGAAGCAAGAGTTCTTAGAACTGTTTGAGGCAGCAACTAAAGCGGCAAAGTCTGCTGCGAGAGGAGACGGTAAGAGTTCTTCTCCAGCGGTCTCTAGATGTGTCGACGCCATGGTTCGTTTGAAGGAAGCTCCTGAGTCTCTTGCTCGCGAGTTGGTCATTGATCTCAAATACCGTCAAATTGGAACGAGTCACAGCCTTCTCGTGGATCACAAAAACCCTAGAATCCAATCCGAGGCAAAGCTTCTTTACTCTCTTTGGCTAAGGTATCTCTACGCCACTGGCAAGAAACAGAGCCGACCAGTGCTAAAGAAGAAGAAGAAGAAGACACATGTGGAGGAGATGAAGAATTCGAAGACGACGGGGGATTGTAACCGAGACAAAGTGCGTGAGATTCTTGCAAAAGCTTTGTCTAAAGTGGCTGTTGAGATGAAGGAAGGAGTGGTTTCTTGCGATTCCTGGAGTGTGGCTGCCTCTGTTGAATCTGCCATGTTTGAGAGACTAGGTTCTTTTGAAGGGACTCAAAAAGCAAAGTACAGATCCATTCTTTTCAACATGGGAGACAGCATGAATCCAGACCTGAGGAGGAAAGTACTACTCGGAGAGATCAGTGGAGAGAGGTTGGTGAGTATGGAGAAAGAAGAGATGGCTAGCAACAAGATTCAGATGGAAGTTCAAAACATCAAAGAGAAAGCCAGAGTTAGGGATGAGAATCGTGTAAAGAGTATGGCGATGTTTCAGTCAGACAGTATGATCATGACTTAGCACAAAAATAGATTCCCACCAGTTTGTTAACTGTATATAGTTAGTGTCAATGTAGAAACACTTTTAAAGTTCTACGTTGCCAAGTTTAATTTGCAACTTTCTTGTCATTGTTTCGTTTGTTTAAAAGCAAAGTACATATATCTTCTTACTCTTATAACATGATTTGTTTCAGTGTTTGATTTCATTACTCTGTTGGTGCCAAGCTAATGTTTCCACAAATTTACCAAACAATGTAAACAAGTTTGTCCGCCAATTAGTCCACTCTTATTTTCAGCCATTGTCTCATGTGATATACAACAACTAAACAACATCAGCTCCAAAAAATTTAACTTGTAATCCTCGGGTGACTTTTGATACCATTGAGATAATCTGATTAATCAACTAAGCCTGATTAATCTGCTTCTGCTGAAGGAAGTTGATATCAACTACAGACTACAGGTTTTTCAGGTTCAGAACTCTTACCTTCAACTGTTCTTTTTAGGAAGATGATCACTGGATGAGGTTTTGTCATTCCCGCTTGTAAGAGATTCTTCTATGAGTTATGGCTAAACGGTTTCCCCTTCGACCTCTTTGTTTTTGTCGACAGATTCCTCTTTGTGCTGTGTCAGCGGTAGGGTCAGATGTAAGATGTTGGCCATTAGCTTCTTCTCCAAGTGGGGAACTATTTGATTCATCATAGAATAGCTACCAAGAAAGTGTGGCTCCTTTTTGGCAATTCTTTGCTCTTAGATGAACACTACAATCAGAAGAAAATATTAGTCATCTGTTGTCATACACGATTTGATTAAACAGACAGTCTACAAACTTTTCAATGTCCACCAAAAAGGATACAAAAGCTTCAGTTGCACTACATCAACTTCACCATTCTACATGTGCAATAATGTACCTTCTGGGGTCTCATAAAATAGACAGAAACCATACATGATTTATACACATCCAAACTCCCTACAAAATCTTGAAGCCATCCAAACTCGTACTACCCCACAAAAAATTAACACTAGTAACAATAGTTCCAAACTCTAAAAACTTATTATGTGTTCAAACAATCTTTCGAACTTTTGGTGATGCATATATGTATGAAACGAACGCATTTTACATTTTATACGCTTTTATCTAATAACAAGGTGTTTTACCATAAATATCACATTAGCTGTGGATTCCATTAGAAGGTTTTCTGTGATGAGGCTCTGGCAAGCTTAAGTAACAGGCTACCATTAACGATACTGCATCGTACCAGCAATCATTAGTTAGATGTAAGGAGTACAACAGATAAAATAGGTGTCCAGAAATGCAACAAATGAAATGAAAATTCTTCAACGTCTACATGCATGTTACCATTAACTCAAAACGTGGCAGTGGTATCTTTATGGTGATAAAGAATCTTTATGGTGATAAAAGAAGGGACACAGCAAATTTGGATTTTTGCATGAAATGAAGCTTTTACACACACAAAAAAAATACAAAATACGTTTTTGAAGAAAAAACATAAATACATTTAAATCATTTTCTTAATCGGTGTGAAAATGTCAAAATAACATATTTATGAAATGGAATGAGTATGAATAAATGTTTTTATTGGATCATACTATCATTCATTTAACTGTTACGGAATTGAGGAAGAGTAATCAGTTTATTATGTTGCTTCAATCTAAATATATTAGCATGGCAATATGGCATCGTCGCACATATATTCATATAACCTCTAGGCATACCTAAGTTTCAGTGAATATAAAATCTGGTCTAGCTCTCCTCCTCATGAGATAATATGGAGCAAAAATGTCAATACATCATAATAAAAAAGTAGAAAAGAACATAAGAAAATAATAAGACTTGGGTGCAAAGCAAAGGGATTACGGTTTCTTGAGAGAAACTCATCCAAATGGTGGAATCAATGAGTGCATCACAAAAAATAAATAAAGATGGGTGCATTATGCTGAACTCATCATTAATAATCTTGGTGTAAAACTTATAATAGATCACTCCAAATCATAATAATATCTATAGATCCATATGCTCATTATTAATAGTTTAACATTTTAAATATATAGTAATTCTGATGTTCACACCGTACCGAGACGATATATGTATGGTAGCACGTGAGGGTAGTTTGTTGGTCTATTCTACAAATCGAACTACTACATGACAGAAACATATATGATGTACTGTGTAGTTGATACCTACAATTGCGTATACTGGTCGGGAAAGGATATTCATACCAAAATGGATAAATGACCATACTAATTTGGCTCAAATTTTGGTTCTATACATATTAGTTTGGATGTCTTGATCTAGTTTAAATTCAAACAGTAAATTAACGTCATTTAATTGCACGATATAACAGGAGTACAAATACTGTATGTATATTCGGAATTAGATTTAGATGCATTACATGATTTAATCTCATTTTGCAAGTTGTCTGTCGTAACTAACCTTAAATAAGATAAGATCATAGATTCCTTGCTTTCATTTGATTCTAAGCATGTTTTAATGATTGTAAGGTGACATTTACAGCACAGCCCAAATAATACTATAAGTTGATTTTGTCAATTACTGTAAAAATCCTTTTAATCTATTTGATTACAGGGGAAGTATTATATGAAAACGCACTTAGTTGATCGCAAAGTTGAGGGACTACAATAATATTGTGTCTCTAAGGGACTACACACACGTGTCAAAGACATGGGATTTGGCTCGGCGGCTACGTGAGGGACCGGAGCAGTTCCCAAGGAGTTACTGATACGATTATGTTCGTACCTCTTGGATTTGTTCTTGATCCCAACACTTAATCCCTCTGTTAATTACCCTTAACCTACAGTTGTCTTTCGTGTGTTGTGAGGACCACTGTGACATTTGTATTCTCTATTTTTATAGCTAAGTAAATCAATCAGTGACAATTAATTCCACATGCCATACTTCTTTTAAACCTTGTTCAGTTGTCTTAAAGTCATAACTATACTAACATTCAGTCAGTAGAAAATCATAAACCTTTTATAGTTATTTCCTTTCATAATATCTTATTTATTTTTAGTGTTATCAATCGAATAACTTTGACAGACAATAATTAAGCTACACGTTATGCTAGTTTCATAAAAAGTGAAAAAACATATTTTATTTTTAAATATGAACAATCTAAACACACATTACCAAACTTTGAATACGGATTACACCACCATAGTAACACAAGTAGTAAGACACAAGTTTTAGTTCTAGGTATAATAAATTTATACATGAAAGGTGATATGAATTGATATAATGTGGGTTGTGTTACAAAAAAAAAAAAAAAAAAAAAAAAAAAAAT